CACACACACACACACACACACACACACACACACACACACACACACACGCCAGCTCTCATCAAGCTAGCACCGGTGTAAATAGCACAAGCAGGGGAATTGCACCTCAAGCTCGTAGGGAAGGCATAGTCTTATACTACACATTTTTTGTACACAAATAGAGTGGGATTTAATTTTCAGTCAATATCGGATGTCTGAGCACAAGCATCAAAAAATAAGCTAATACACCATGAATTTCTGGAAGTTATACTTTGCGGAGCAGGAGAATATCTGAATTTGGCAATCAGACCTTAAAATCAAGAATTATGATGATCTCCATAACATGCTTAAAGGGACAGGGTCTTGTCAAATTTGGCCCCAAATTTAGGTTTTTCTTTTACAGAAAACCAAGACATCCGTAGTGTTTCCAACCCCAAACACTGCATTAGAACCCAAAAAGCAAGCCAGACTACAAATGACTATGAACAAACCAAAACATTGCAATGGCGCTTACATCTTTAGAAGCTTTTTGAAAGAGGGTAAGCATTATTATCCCTATTTTTCAGATGGAGAAACTGAGGTACAGAAAGGTGGAGTGACTTGCCCAAGGTCACAAAAGTGGCAGAGCCAAGAACAGAACCTAGGTTTCATATCTGCTGCTCTATCTACTGCACCAAGTTGCCTCCTCATTTCACAGGAGTGAAAATTACATTTCTGTTTTCACTGTCCATGGTGAGAGAAGTGCAAGATGGAGACAGGTAGCATGAGTGATGAAAAGTAAATTGCATTTTTTTTTTTTAAAAGTCTTGCAGTTTCAGTAATCTACATTGGAATTTATAAGGCAATTTGATTTTGTTAAAAGACATGATTTTTGAGCTGACAGTGTCCCTTAACAAAACAGATAAAATATTCAGAATAGTTTAATCTTTGAAAAGATTTTAAAAATTATGTATTAGGAATACAGTTAAGAAAAATAACTCCCAGGAATAAATGCTGAATAAACCAATTAAACCAGAAATCTTGATTTTAAAAATGCTATTAATTAAGAAAAGTCTTCGTTAATGTTTTACATAAAGTTTACTCTTACATGATTGTGTGTAACACCCTTTTCCTAAAAAATAAATAAAACCAACCCAGAACATCCTTGCAAGTTCTGGGGTAACTGCCCCTTTCATGTAGAAAAAAATGTCAATACTTTTTTTCTTTCAAACTCACACCCACCCAAACTCTAATAGGTAACTATTTCAGTATAGAAAAGTATGTTTACAATTTTAAAATAATTTTACAAAATAAGGAGATTTGCAGAAGTGCCTACGGCTGGGATTAAGCACCTAAATCCCTGAGGCACCTGAAAATCTTTCCCTAAATAATTAACAATGCATTGTGTTTCCATTTCAGTCAATGTATTTGTTAGCTTACAGGCATGCTAAATTCTCAGTCCCAACAAGCCAATGGTCAGGCATTCAGACTCCTCTTTCTATGGGCTTATACGTACACTGGGCCAGGTCCTCAGCTGGCGTACATCACTATCGCTCCAATGACATAACTGGAGTTATGCTTAAGTACATGAACTGAGGATCTAGTCCATTGATTGTAACAAGAAAAAGGTTAAGGTGATACAAGGGAAACAGAATAGGAGACTCTTTTGTCTACGCTTCCTGTTGTCATTCTTCCCTTCCCCACCTCCCTCTAGATGCATCTTTGGGCACTATCCCAGGTCCTACTTAGGTGTCCCTGCCAAATTTGTTGTCTTCTTTTGCCATGCAAAGTTACTCCATTGGTACCTTGCTTGACCATCAGAGCCCAGGCTTCTACATCTTTTCCATTTATTTTAAGGTGCTGAACTTCTGACAATATAGCTAACATTGTAATGTTACTTTTGTTGAACCTCTTCCTCATTTAACTTCATCTCTAACATCATCCCTGCACCCTGTCTTAGAGATCCCTCTGCTGGCTGAATACTATGATGGCTCTAACCTCATTCTTCACAACACACACTTTTTTTTTCAGATTTCAAAATACATACAATAGTAAAATTAATGTTAAGCACAAAATACACTTAATATAAAAACAGTTAATTTAAAACTTGTAAAACACTTCTGCAATTATTGGGGAAAAGTACATTTTAACAGAACATTCTGAAATGTATGCAAAGTATGAGTCTTAGGCAATATTACAGACAACAAACAATTTAAACGGTTTTACCTTTTGGCCTGCAATGAACTGTGAACATGCCCTCAGGTATTTCTGATGTGTTCAGTTAATATATATTGAATAACCATCCTACCTGTAAATTAGTCACATAAGATTCGTCACAATTCACAAGGTGGCTCAGTCTGGCATGTTGAGCCCGTAATTCATTCTCCCGTATCTTCTGATGTAAACTGTTAATTTGTTGCTTCTGCCTGTAATACATAAAGCCAGATTACTTTGGGGATGGGGAGAAGGAGAGGAAACCATGAATCTTGAAGATTTATGCCTCTGACCACTTTAGCAATAAAGACCAACCTTCAACTTCCTTTGAGCACGTGAAAGAGAAAACTATAGGCTCCACCTGGCCAAAGTTAGATGTTTTACCATTCTGAATCTATAGTAACCCTGGGATTTCCCATTGCAGCCTATCTGAAATTAATCCAGATTTGGGCCAGAATTGGAGTCACACTAGGCTATGAAATACAGACGTCTGCTAAGATACATGGTCACATATATTCCCCATAAAGCATATACAAAATGAGCTAAATTCAGCCTGGAGAATCCAGGTGGAACTCCTGTGGAAGTATGTCTTGAGACCACCATGAATTTGACAAGTAGAGATGTCTCTTATACCAAGGGTTAGAAAAGGGGCAGGGCTACACCTGCTTTTGCTCCTCTGGTTGCATGTTATGCTTTTTTCACATAACCGAAATTTACACACCGGGGGGAGGGGGTCGCAGAAGAAAGTTCAAAAGGAAAAGCCATGACCATAAAATAAGGATGGCAGTGTTTAACCTAAGACCCTCCTTTTAGTTACTTTTTCTGCTTACTATTTCCTCTTCTGACTACTTTACAAATGAGCTACAGTGCATTTAAGTTTACACAGCACTGGATATCAAAGTTGTACAAGTTAAACTACTTTATCGTTTGCACCAATCTTCCCACCAGTTTACACGAGACGCATAAATTATACCACTATTTATAAAACAACTGGATTTGAACTACTATGGTTAGAAGGCCAAACACAACCCTGGATGTCAATTTACAAGTCAGTGGAGTTACATCAGAGATGCGTATGGCCCAAGAAGTCCACTAATCTCTTTCCTGAGAGATGGGGCTTCCTATGGTCGACTACAATCAGCTTTGTCACACGGGGCTGTGAAAACCTTAAAGGCACACAGATACCATGGTGGGACATTATTTAGAAACAATAAAAATTCTGCATTTATCTCATTCTTTCTATTTCTCCTCCATTTTCCCCTCCCCCCGCCCTTTTTTTCTTGTTTTGTGGTGTTTTTGGTTGGTTGGTTTTGTTTTATTATACTAGGAGGGATTTGCTGGGAGACAGGATAATTGATTAAGTATTCATCTGTTCCTGCTGCTTATACATCACCTAAATTCACAAACCTGTTTGTGACATCACAATTAAATTCTTTGGAGATTATATCCTATGGTGAGTGGGAATAAACAGCAGGAGCAGATTAATTTCTAAGGAAAGAGATCCATCTTTGAGCAAACAGCCTAAAAAAAACCCCATAAAAATTATAATCCACAACCAAAGTGGTTTCTAAATTGAATGTCTTCCAAATATTCCCAGGAGGCATCAGAAGGTTTTTAATAAAAGTAAAGCAGCAAGAAATGGAAAAAAAACAAAGTTGGTTAGGGAAAGAAACCCTTTGATTTGTTAGGTAAGGAGTCTCTGAGGCCAAATAATGGGAGAAAAATAAAGTAAAACCAAACACACAAAAACCCAATTAGAGGGATTTTTTTTTTAAGCCAGGAAAATTCACCCAGTTGGCCATGAGCAGACTGTCCCAGTTATTCCACCTCAAAGAGGAATTGGTTGCTTAAAAAAAAGGTAAATTTACATGTCCCATAAATGTTTGTTGCATAAGCTGTGGTATGTATTATACATATATTGGGATGTATGGGAAAAATATAAGAAAGGCTTAACTGTACAGCGTATTAAGACAATTCATTAAATATAATGCATAAGAATAAATAAATTTCAAGATGTCCTATGATACAATGAAACAATTTTTTTTTAAGCTACCTCTCCTCCTTCCCAGTCTATGTGGAAGGAATGAGCCCAGTTAACAAGGAATGAGTAACACTGGAAAAAATAAATTTGTTCTAAAAGAGGGGGAATGCTACAATAAACAATTTCGATTTGAGTCTTTATGCACTATTGCATTTCAAATAATAGTAATAACAAGAGCTCCAAATCCTGGTATGAAAGGAGAGGATTTGAAGGTAGAGAGTATATGATCTTTACTAGAAAGAGACACATATCTCTCTCATGATAATGCCGTCTTAATAAATTCTGTTGTGTTCTTGGTCACAATTACTAAGGATGGGCAGAACCAAGTTCAGCAAACTCATTTAATATGAGACCTCTTAACCTGAGGTCAAAGTGGGATGATAAAAGGTGAACAGTTATTATTGTGCATATTTATTTTATTAGAACATTTTCACCAAGTCGAATTTAAATTATGTAAGTAACCATCACTCAACTGTTGAAGCAACTGCACTCTCCTTCTCTTTTGGTTGATTATATCTCAACATTTGTTTTAAATTTGCATTCCTGAACAGATACTAAACAGTTGAACTGAGCATTTAAAAATACTATTGAACTTCAAAATACATCACTTTTTTTTTTTTTAAACCAATCCTCTTCCCACTAATCCCCAGAGGAAAATAAAATGAGCCAAATTAATCCCTTGTGTAAATGATTACAGTGGATTGAATTTGTCTCAATACTTTGCGGTTCAAACCGCAAAGTGTAGTTAGAATTTATCTGCCATCGTAAAACCTTGTCAACAAACGACATCATGGAAAAATTTCCATAGATCATGTAATTCTTGTGCAATTGTCTTCCTGAAGGTACACTCTCACAGTAAACTAACTTCAGGCCATAGGAAAACAAAACTATGAAAGTTGATGGCTATTCATGAACAAAGAACGAAAAATAAACACTATAGAAATATATTCACTATATGCATATAATCCTATAAATCTTTGGAGTTCTCTGACAATGAAAGACCTCATACCATGTGCATTTCATTGCTGATGTTGTCATATGCTAGGATAGTTTTAATCCTTTGTTACCCCACAGCTGTTACTACTAATCCACTACATAATCACAGGGTATGAGGACTTTGTTTAAAAAAAATTGTGTGTAAGAGCTTCAGATGATCTCACAAATATAGCCTGTGCGTGGCAGTAGAAATACTATACCTGACAGCCTGCCTGTCTTCAGCTAATAATTCTAGCATTTTCAAGAAGACTCTTTAGGCTCTTTTCAAGTCTCTGCTCAGATAAATGGCAACGTTTAATATCAAGGTTGGTAGGCCAAAAAAATTAACCAGCCTTGAAACAGATAGCTCCATCTGGAAGGTGAAACTAGCTATTATTAGACTAGGTCAGCTTTAATATTAATCACCTTAACAGTGTCCTCTGTCTTCATAAAGGACAAAACTAGAGCTCATTGAAATTTTTTGTTTTGAAATTGATGTTTGCAAAAAAAAAGTCAAATTCATACCACTATCCCCAAATTATCTTCTGTAGTCATTTTTTTTTGAAAATTCAGCTTTTTGACGAACACATGAATTTTTTTTTTAAATCTGCATTTTTCAGCCAGCTATTGCTAAAATGTATGTCTGACTGCAATGAAAACAGTCTCATTCATTCACAGGACCACCATTCTCTCATGAAAGGCCATCTCTGAAAATTCAATACGGAGTGTAGAAAAAAAGAAAACACCAATAACATTACTTTTAATACATGGACTTTTAGTTACTTCACAGTAGAGAAACTGCGTTGAACCAGAAGATAATTAAAAGTGTTTTGGGGTTGCTTTTTGTTTGTTTGTTTTTTAAATCTCAGACTTGGCTTCTTGTGTATGCCAGCAGGGTCAGCCTGAGGAAAAGGGGTGAGAAGAAATGACTTGCATACCTCTAAGGTGCCAGTTAAAGGAGCTGCATTCAAGGGAATCAAAACTGTATTTTTATATAAAACAAACTGAGAAATGAAAAGCACCCTTTTGGGAGGGGTGTTTATAATATATATATAAGGTGATACCTATGAAGAAATCTTCATTAAAAGGAGGTATTTCGGTCTACTTTTGTAGCCAAATAATTGATACAAATATAACACTGACGTTGCTTTTCAAAAAGATTTTAGTCTGCAAGACATCTCTAATCTTTTCACCTTTTCCTCAAGGCGTAAAGCTCTGATCCAGGAGCAGAAGAGAAAGCTTTGAAGCTTCTTTTTAACAACATGAAAGATCCTGTTGTACCCAGAATACCATATTGAATTCCCACAGAAAAATTCTGCAGTGTAGCTGTTTCATTTTGGCGGGGGTAAAATGAATTTAAAAATGTGTTTTCTTCACAGACATGATCTGCTTCTTATATTCTGATTATAGCAATATCTTTCTCTTCCCTTGATCTCCTAAAAAATTTCAAATCAATATCCTGAGAGTATGTTCTTTGTTGGTCCCCTTACCTCCCCCGTCCCATTTTTAAAAAAACACCAACCATCATTATAAATCTCAAAAGCTACATTCGATCTTGATGTATCTGGTGTGCAACTTAACTGAAGTCAAAGGGGTTACCCAACACGTGCATCAGGCTACACCTGGTTCCCACATATTAGATTCTCTCATCCCAAATGCCACATGCAAGATCCTGATATACCTACAGTAAACCCTTTTCCTTTTCATGAAAAGATGGGTTCCCTTCTATTTCCACCTTTTGTAAAATCCTGTTCTCTTTGCCATTTCTCCCCCAAATACCTTTCATTTTTGCAAACCACTTTCAGGAATCAACAATGTCTTTATTCCTGTGGATCAGTGGTGCTTGACAGTGTAGGGGAGGGGAACACTAGCCATGGATGTTCATATAAGACCTGGTTTTATTTGAACACATTATTATAATACGTAGCCCGACAATACCAAATGTCATTTTAGCTAATTAGAGGTTACAATTAATATGTCTTAAAGTGTCAAGTAACTTACAAAAAACGCATCTGAATCCCACTTTAAACAGAAAAAGTTTACTTGTAACTCCTCACTTAAAGTTGCCCTGGTTAACGTTGTTTCGTTGTTGATCAATTAGGGAACATGCTCGTTTAAAGTTGTGTAATACTCCCTTCTAACGTCGTTTGGCAGCCGCCTGCTTTGTCCACTGCTTGCAGGAAGAGCAGCCTGTTG